GCCCAGAAATAGGCTGAAAACGGAATAGGGTCTGCAGGCCCTCGTTTTTCAGTTTCAGGCTGAAACGACCGGGGCCTGTAAGCCCTATTTTCTAGCCTTTTAGGCTGAAAGTGCGGGACGGGCCCTGCAGGGCCCGTATGGCTACGCCGTATGCCACACCCCCCCCTCCTTGAAAGACCGAGCTTACCTGCGAGGGCGAAGCTGTCTATCTGAGGGAGGGACCATAGTCTGGGTGGGAGGGGCCGGTCGTGAAGCTTCCTAAGCTAACCTTTGCTTCTCATAATGCGCGTAGATCAGCGGTGCGGATGCTTTCAAATCTGCTGCTGAAATCCACCGAGTGTCGTCGCGATCGCAGGCTTTGAATGTAACTTTGTACTGTCGCGGCTTGCTGCCGTACTTGCGATCGGTGATGACGTGGTCAACTTCCTGATGACCATCCATAGAAGGAGGGTCCTACGATCATAGGCCCGGAAAGTCGTCGCTCTTAGCTGGCGTGTATGTTGCCAGCTTTGAGGCGTGAAAGACTGGATGGACCGTCAGGTTTGGACCAGTGCAAACTCTTCCCCGGAAACCCAAACCAGGTCGCCGGCGCGGATGGCACATGGCACGTGATGCCTGTTGGCTTGCTGCTGCATGCGGACTTTAGCCTTTTGCATATTCGCGCGGGCTTGAGCCAACAATTCCCTGTACTTCCGGACGGAAGCGGGAGAGCAAGCGACATCGATGTCGGCTGGTTGTGGGAGGAGAAGGTCGGCGAAGATACAACCTTTCCGTCCACCGTGGTGCAACTCGAATGGAGTCACGCCGATCCCTGGGTGCACCGAAGTGTTATAGGCGAACTCGATGTCAGGGAGGCGGTCGACCCAATCTTTATGGTGCGGACGGATGAGCATACGAAGCATCATTTGAGCGGTTTGATGTGCCCGCTCCGTCTGCCTGTCTGTCTGTGGATGCCGAGCCGAACTTGGCTTCATCTTCGTGCCGGACTCCTACATGAGTGCAATCCAAAATGCCGACATGAAGCGAGTGTGGCGGTCGCTGACTATGTCTTCTGGTACACCATGGCCGCAAATCCAGCCGGTGTGCAGGAGGCGTGCCAACTCGGGAGCCATGGAGTAGTACTTGCAAGGGAGAAAATGCGCGTACTTACTCAATCGGTCCACGACCGTAAGGATGCCGTCGTGTCCGAGGCGGTCGCGGGGGAATGGTCCGGTGACATCCATGGCAATAGAGAGACCGGGTTCCTGCGGGATCGGCATCGGGCGCAGCTCGCCGTAGGGGTTGCGGTTGCGGGGCTTGCTTCGTCGGCAAACTTTGCAAGAGTCGCAATACCTCGTGACGTCGGTGATGAGGTCGGGCCATCGGAATCGCTGTCGAAGCCATGCAATAGTGCGGTTGACTCCGAAATGGCTGGTGAGTCGCGAATCATGATACTCGCCGAGGAGGCGAGTCCGAAGACGGCGGTCGTGTGGGACACATAGTAAGTCCTTGCCCCGCGAGTGCAGGAGCAAGGACCCATCGGCGATGCGATAGTGGCTGGCCGTCGGGTGATCCGAAGATAGCTGCGCATATAGCGTGGCGAAGTCTGGATCAGATTCATAGCCCCTGATGAAGTGTCGCTGGAGCTCCTCGTCGAATGGGAAGGTATGATGTGTCATAGCGCAAATATCAGGTCTTCGCGAGAGTGCATCTGCTGCGCGATTGGAGAGGCCGGGAAGATGTTTCAGTGTCAAGTCAAATTGGTCGATGAAGTACATCCATTGTCCGATCGTGCTGCTCACCGTATCCTGCGTCTTGTAGTAAGTCAGTGGGTTATTGTCCGTAACCCATGTGAACCTACGACACCCAAGGAGGAAGTGCCGCCATCACTTGAGAGCCATGACGAATGCGAGCAGCTCCTTCTTCCTTGCACCATCAAGCGAGTTGATGGGAGACACTTTGTGTCTGAAATACTCCACAGGGTGCCAGTCGTCGCCGTCGTGCTGTTCCAAGACTTCCCCAATGCCATAGCCGGAAGCGTCCGTAGTCACTATCGTCGGCAGGGTGGGGTCATAGATGCTAAGGATGGGTGCCATGAGCATAGCCGTCTTAAGTGCTTGGAATGACCGGTGTGCGTCGTCATCGAATGCGAATGGCACCTTTGGCGATTATAATCTCGTCATAGGTGCAGCAATCCTCGAGCCAATCCCATGAATGAACGAACGTCTATGGTGTTGGTGGGCTCGGGCCATACTCGTAGGTCCTCGATCTTGTCCGCAAGCGGACGGATGCCTTGCCGCGTCACATAATGTCCCAAGTACTCCAGCTCCTGCCGGGGGAATTCGCACTTGTCGCGGTTGGCTTTGTACTTGGCTTGTCGTAGCCGCTCCAAAATGGTGTGCAGGTGTTCCAAATGCTCGTTCAAACTCCGACTGTACACCAGGATGTCGTCGAGGTAGATAAGTACGAATCGATCCAGCATGTGTCGGAACTCCGTTGTCATAGCCGCTTGGAAACTGGCCGGAGCATTCGTAAGGCCAAATGGCATAACCATACATTCGAAATGCCCATATCGCGTCTTAAATGCGGTCTTGTAGCGATCCTCCTACCGAATCTCGAGTTGGTGCTATCCTGACTTGAGATCGAGCTTGGAGAAAAACTTGGCGTCACCCAGTCGCTCGAGAAGATCGTCGATGCGTGGGAGAGGGCCGACGTTTCTGATCGTCTGCAAGTTGAGCTTGCGATAATCGATGCACAACCGCAAATCCTTATTCTTCTTCCGAACGAAGAGAACAGGAGCACCATATGGCGATGAGCTAGGCCGAATCCAGCCTTTCTCCAGAAGGTCGTCGAGTTGTGCCCGAAGCACACTTAACTCTTCCTCGCTCATTCGGTAGATGCAACTGAGCGGAGGTACGGCCCCGACCTCGAGGATGATCTCGTGGCGGATGGGCCGATCCGGTACTACTCCGTGCGGGCCTTCGAACACGTCGCCGTAGGCGTCGAGAAACTCGGTGATCCATGCATCTGAAGAAGAGTCCGTCGATGAAGCGTCATGGGGCAGGAGGGTGTGGAGAAAACACACCCCCGTCTCCTCGATGTCGTCTCTGATGATGGAAGCTCGCATGCTTGCGGCGGATACCACATGACAGCTAACTGAAGGGTGAGGAGGAGCTACCGTGCATGGGACTAGTACTCCGTTCCGATCACGAACGTGAACGGTGCGGCGGTAGAAGTTCACCGGGTGATCCTCGCTTCGCAGCCATGACATGCCCAAGATCATGTCGAATTTGGTGTCCAGAATGTCACAGGACACCGCCTTACTTATGTGAGGGGCAAAATACACTGGGACGTCATCAATGCACCGGTCGATTGACTTGTGCGTGTGACCGTCCGCCAACGTGACTTGCGTTGGCTGGGACTTCCTTCGGACTCGTGGGCCAAGGCCGGCGCGTACCAGGAAGTCCTGACTCATGTAGTTGCGAGATGCTCCGCAATCGATCAAAGCGCTGCAGGTCGCCTCTCCGATCTGAATGTGTACATATAGCAATGGTGCGTCGATGTTGTCGTACCGTTGCGCCTTGAACTCTCGGTCGATCTTCGCAATGTATGCGTGAAGGTCGACAACCTCTACTCCGGCGTCCATCAACGAAGTCGATACTGCAGTGTGCAAGTAATCCCGCAATTGTGCCTTGAGCACGTTGCAATGCGGTTTTGGCAATCGACCGGATCGGGGAAGGGACATCCATTGGAAGTCCGCAAATGTCAACAGGTCAAACTCTTCAAGTCTTGACCATGACGTTGAATCCTGCGGCGAAGCTGCCGAATCAGTTGCCGATGGTGATGAAACCGTGCATGCGGTAGATTGTTGCACGTGGAGCGGTTGGTCCAGCGGTGGGACCAAGTGGACAGCATAGTCCTCGTAAGCATACCGAGAACTTACGACATTCGCATCCTCCCCAGATGTGTAGGAGGCCGCTAGCAAGGCGGTCGAATCTGGCGGAGTGGGAGGTGGAGTCGCCTCACCTCCCGCGAAACTCAGTTTTCCGAGTTGAGACGAGGCCGCACATCCTCCTTGGCCTGATTCTGGCAAAGGAAGGTCTTGTGCTTGGTGCTGTTGCACCAGTAGCAGCAGCCGTAACGGCCGCAGTACTTGTACTCCGCCTCGGTCAAGCTGAACTTGACCCATGGTGGTGCTGGCTGTCCATTTCCGACCGGCGATGCTGATTTCGCCTTCCCGTTCACTCGGGGTTTGTTGTTGCTTCGCGGCTGGACAGCAGCCACCTGATCTCCCTCACGTGACGCTTGGGTGGCTGCCGGGTCTTCCACAGTGTTGTCCGATTGGACTGCAGCGAACTGCTGCTGTCGCGGACCAGTTCTCACCTTCTCCACATAGGTTGGCTGCCACGTTGACTTCTCGTGTGCAGCCGCCCTGTTGGTCTTGATGATCTCCCTTGCCTTGTCAATGATCTCGGCGAAGGTTGCATACTGCTCGCGATCACCAAGTGCCTGGCTCAAGGCAGCGAATGACTTGTTGTAGAACTCACGGGGCAAATGTGGAAATGGTAAGTCAAGATTGGGCGTTGCCGCGATCTTCTGCCATTCCGTGAGCCAGTCACGTGTTGCTGTGTTGCCTTGAGTCATGGTGAAGAGACGGTTGATGGCAAGTGCTGGTGCATCGTCGACGATGAACCGCTTCTTCCACAGCCGTGTTAACTCTTCCCATGAGATCTTGTCCTTCAGATCTGCGACGTCGACGTTGTGGGTGGCTGCCAGGTGGGTTAACCAGATCTGGCATCCGCCCTTTGAGTTCATAAACAGGGCGCCGATGTATGCGTGCTTGGCGACAGGCAGAATCCGAAGTTGCGTCGTGAAAGCTTCCCACCAGAGCACCGGGTCCTGATGCGTGTAGTCGTCGAACTTTTCCAGTTGGAAAGTTGGCATCTTGTATTGCTTTGGATTGTTTTCCATCCGTGTTCGTCGACTGCAGTTGCTGGACCTCAGTCTTCAAAGTATCCAGCTGATTGCTGATGGTGGTTGTCGTAGCGAAGGTGCTGATGCCGCCGAGCATTGCGACGACGTGGTCGACACGTTGCTCCAGTTGGCGGTTAGAGGGTGCACTGCTGGACTCACCAGCATTTCGTCCTGGTACAACTTGCTCCAGGTCCAGTACACTGGAATTGAGTGCCCGTGTAGCATCCTCGTGGCTCTGCACCATCCGGCGGAGGTTCGCCAACTCCTGGTGCTGTGTCTTCAGATCCTGGTACTGTTGCTGCAGTTCCTGGTTCTGTCTCTCTAACTCGGACTGTTGGTAGTTGCAAGCGTACAACAACCGTGTCACGAGTTTGGAGAGGAACTCCTTATGTTGCTCCTCCGGTGTTGCGTCATCACCGTTGGACGGTTCAAAGTGCCAGAACTTGAGTCTTTCGATGCTGGCAGCTTCATGCCTCTGCAGCAGAACCTGGGCCTCCTTTCGGCGTGCTTTGGTATCTGCGTCTGCTTCGGCCTGTAGCCGCTGCTTCAGCCTGTAGGCGGGCAGCCTCGGCTGCCAGTTGGCGCTATTCCTCAACCTCGATCAAAGCGAGCTGAGCCTGGAACCGTTGTTTGTACTCGGCAAGAGACTCGTTGGCCAGTTGGCCTGGCATGCCCAAAGTTGCGCCCGTCATGGTGGCGGGGCACTGCTGACGTGGTATTGCTGACGTGGCACTGCTGACGTGGCACTGTTGCTGACGTGGCACTGCTTGGCAATGCTGATGTGGCACTGTGTGACGTGGCACTGTTGCTGACGTGACACTGTGCGACGTGGCACTGCTTGGCAATGCTGACGTGGCAATGTGTGACGTGGCACTGCTGACGTGGCACTGTACCAACCCGGAAATGCATGCAAAGGGGTGGGTGAGAGGGAAAATGTAGGTAGGCAACCAACCCAACAATACTTTCCTTCGGCCCTAATCAACAGATAAAAATAAAATAAAAAAATAAAAGAGGACTACTTCCTTTTTTTTTTCTTTTTTTTTTTGTATATCTATCGATTTGTTATGGGTGAGACATGTCAGAAGAGTACTATGAACGAGCTCTAGGCTAGGTTCCGCAAAGTTTCGGCTTTCACAAAATGCGATCTTTGAAAAAATATTTTGCGAGCTAAAATAGAGATGCGATTTTCAGAAACGAACTAAATCCCGTTTCTGAGAATATGGGAACCTCCGAATATGCCTATCGAAATGTTGGTAGGCTTCGCAAGATTTCGGTTTTCAAAAAAAATTTGCGAGATAGAATGAAAATTCGATTTTCAGAAAAAAATAATTCCAGTTTCCAAGAATATGACCACTTTTATCGTTATCCCAATATGCCTAGAGAACGAAATACTAACATCAGAAATTTCAGCTATGTATGCGAAATATCAGAGAAACGAAATGCTACTATCAGGAATTTTCAGACAAAACGAAATGCGATTTATCAGAAATTTTTAGATATTTGTTACGTGAAAACGAAATATCAATATCAGAAATTTTCAGGTAAAACGAAATGCGAATATCAGAAATTTTCAGATAGTTGTTGCGAGAACTTTTTTTCCAGAGATTTGAAGAAGTCCTACTTGATTTACTAATGAGTGATCAATAGATCAAGCAAGCTGGCTACTTGATTGAGCGGGTCCTCTGAATGAGAGGTCCGCTCCAATACCGAACTGTTGCATACTGTAACGGTGCAGACCAGAACAAGAACCGACCTCTCAATACAAAGTACAAGATAGCGTAGCGGAAGACTTAGATACCAATGATCCGAACAATCAATATTGCAATGC